CATCATCTTCACATGTCTTTCTAGCTTTCCCTTTCATTTCCACCACTCATACTTCATCATTTCAGCCACCTACATGCATTAATTATTAAATTATTCATCATTGCATCCAGAAAATGAGCAAGAAAGCTTCCCAAACACATGCATACACACATTGACATTCCAACACCTTCACATGCAATTCCAGCTTGCATATGCTTTCTTAGCTGTTTGTTCATCATTAATTAGCCACTTGCATGCTTAAACAAACAGCCATTTACACCTTCATTCTCCTATAAAAGCCCTTGCATTCTCATCATTCAATTCATTCCTCATTTTTATACACAAACACACCATTTCCCAAACCTTTGCCGTGCATATCCTTCCATTTCTGTGCAGTTTTTCTCCTCCATTGCAGCCACTATCCAACCACTTCCCATCCCTCCAAAACACTTCACACCATCACACAACCTATCCTTAGACCTTGTGCTACAACAACGAGGAAGAGAAGAGTGCCTAAACGTTCATACAATTCAAGTTTGAGTTGTTGGAATGTTTAGGCGTTTCTTTGATTTCAATGTTTAATTTCAATTCTCTTTGTTTTGTAAGTATGAGGAACTAAACCCCCCTTAGCTAGGGGGTGATTCGAAATATATGTTTATGCTTGCAATATGATTTGATTACTTTTAATTACGTTTCATAAGTTGTGAATTCAATTTGTTTAACTATTTGATTGATAACCTATTTATGTATGTTTATTGAGAGTCGACGCTTAATTTTCATGCATGAATTTGACGCTAGAATATAAGTGAGTTTCACGTAATAGTTATGAACTTATATTCACAAGTAGTGGAGGTTGCTTATAAACAATCGCGTTAAACAAATTCTTGGCATAAGTTTCATGCAATCATAGTAACGAATGCCTCGTCAACACTTATAGTTTTCAAAGAACTTAATGATTCTTGCTTGTATCTCTATTATGCAATTCATGTAGGGAACTTGTGAGGAATGCTTTGGGTTGTCGTATGCAATCGTCCAATTCATTAACTTAAGGAAAACTTGACGGTTAATTTAAGCGGACCTAATTAACCCGGGGCGTTGAGAATTCATGGTTTATTGAAAAGCAATTAGAAATCGTTTTGTATGCAAGTATAACATGTATAGAGATGAACCCCTTAGCTATCTTCCCATCCATTCATTTCCGTCAAATCCATATTTACAATTTGTTTTGTTTCCAAGTATCCATTTTAGTTTAAATTCGTCCAAATCCAATTCCCCCCTATTTCGTTGAAGTCTTAGTCTTAATCTTTCTTATTTTTAGTTTTGCTTTCTTCGAGCATTAAATAGTGTTTTATATTGTGTTTTACGTTTTTAAGTCAAATCCAAGTGATTAACAATCCCTCCTAATCCCCGGTCCAGAACGATCCCTACTTATACACTTCACTACAATTGATAAAAAGAGGGTTTAATTTGTGTGCGCATAATTCTCGCATCACGAATCTATATTTTGTTGTGCAAAATCCTTAAACTTGGGTGGGCACCAAAAATGGGATGGGATTTTTATTTTTTTATAATTTTTTTAAGACTTTGCACGACCAACACTTCCTCATGCAAAACCCTAAAAATAGGACGCCTTTTTTTTAAGACTTCGCGCAACCTATATTTCGTTGTGCAAACTCGTATCCTTCGTCGTACAAAATGATAAAGTTTTTAAAACCAATATAACTCATCCACAATTTTCTCAATGTCTTTCTCTATTCTCTTACCTCTCCTATCTCTTTCCCACTCGCCAAATCCAACCTCTCTCTCACACTCACTCCTCTCGCTTAATCTCTCTTCTCTATCTCTCACTCTCACTCACTCTCTCATATGTCTCTCACTATCTCCTCTAACTCTCTCTCACTCACTCCTCTCTCTCATTCTCACTCACTCTCAATCTTGCCAAAAGGTATTTTCTCCCCAAATTTTAAATTTTTTTCATTAATATATGTTTTTGGAGTTAATTTTGGGTTTGGTGTGGGGTTTAAGGTCGAGTTTCGGGTGAGGGGTGGAGTTTGGGATCGGATTTGGGGTATGCCAATTTTAGGGGAGATTATGCCCCCTTTTGATATTATTTTGTGTTGTTTTTTGGTTATTTGACCATGTTGGTTTTTTCGTAGAGAATCGTCGAGACTTTGACGGCTAAAGTTGAGGATTAGGATGCTATCAGATCATATCCCCCACCACTACTACCACAATAGACTTGTATTAAGATTTTATTATTGTATTTTGTTGATTTATGTGTACATATTAAATATATTATATATTAATTTGATCACTATTTTCATATGTAATTTTATTTGGAATATGTCAATTTAAATGGACATGCAGAAGAGAAATGATATCCCCACTCGAACCAAGACATAACTTTTACTTGTTCAAATAACAATTAAGGTGAAGGAGACGAATCTCCGATAAAGAGATTCATTTTGCATGTTCCTTATTACAAAGTAGTTCAAAAGTGTTTGTTTTTTTCTACTGGTTTCCCGATAAAACCGACATCTTTATGACCACAAAACTTAGAGGAGGAGACCAATCAACAAAGTTCAAAAGCTAAAAGGTTTTCGCTTTCCTAATGGCACAAACCCAGATCACCCCCACTTCACTTCAAAAAACTTCTTTCAACCCTAAAATTCCATAACTTGCAAAAGTCAGTTGAAAAATTGCAAGAAAAATGAACTGGGAATTGGGCAAAGAAGCATACCATAGTTCGTTAGTAGCTCAGTGTCCAACATGCAGGTCGAAGCGTCTCAATTTTCAGAGAAATTGACTGCGATGCGAGAGTTTTTGGGGAAATTTAGAGCAAGAATGTGAGGGAATTAAGGTTCGTAAGGGGCCATCTTTCTCTCAGTCAAACAATGAATCCACATTAGAGGTTTTTTCCTGGAAAATACGCAGAGTTGATCGACCGATGCGTAGGGTCGAAGATGTGGGTGATAATGAAGGGTTTGATCCTGTGGTTGCTGACATCAATGGTTACCACATTGGTATTGATGTGAACACGGTTGTGTATGTTGCCTGTGTTGATATTGTTTTAAGAGGAATTGATTTGAAAAGTGGGAAGGAGATTATTGCTTGATTGAGTGCAGAGATGCTGTCAAGATGGTTCGGGTTTTGGTCGGATACTCGTCAACTAGGCCTCCAACGCCTCTTCTCGTTGCTCAGATTGACCTCTCCAACCAGTTCAAGGAGTTCATGCGTGTGGGTTTCTCTGCCTCGAATGGGCAGGGCTTGTTGATATCCTTCTTGGATCCCATTTTTTGTTACTACGGATCTCTTCCAACCGGGATTACTACGGATGAGTTTGAAGAAGGGGACTGGTTTACGTGCTCTTCACCAGAAGATTCAAGTACCAAAAGCAGCCCAGAAAATCGTTCCCATGGAAGAAAACAAAGGTACTGGAGATGGCTCTTGGTTTGGGAGGTTGAGCCGCATTTTTCCTCTCCATATTCGCATTCCGTTTCGTCATTTGTTTTGGATGTGTGAAGAAGAGAAAGGTCACTGCCGGAAGGAGCAGAGAGGGCAAAACTTGTTGAGTTGAGGTGAATAAAGTTCGGAAAAGATTGTCACTAAGATCAGCTACAATGGGGTTTAACCGAAACAGGGTTGTTGGGGAAGGGGCATCGGCTAATGTTTATAAAGAGTCCTTGCCCTCTTGTGGATAAGTGGCAGTGAAAAGGTTTGAGAGGGCTGATGGAATTGGTAGTCTGCATCATCCTTTTACCATGGAGTTTGCAACTATGGTGGGTTGTTTGCGGCACAAGAATCTGGTTCAGCTTCATGGGTGGTGCTGTGTGGGTAATGAGTTAGTCCTGGTGTACGAGCATACCCATGGAAGCCTCAGCTAAGTTCTTCACAAAAGCTTCAATTCAGCAATTGTTCCACCCTAGAAGCAAAGACTTAATATAGTTCTCGGAGTCACATCTGCTCTTGAATATCTTCACGAAGAGTGTGAGAGGCAAATAATTCATAGAGATGTTAATACTTGCACCATAATGCTCAATGCAGATTTTGGTCTAGCGGAAGTGTATGAGCATAGTTCCATCATTGCAAGAGAAACAACTATACCGGCCAGAACAATGGGATATCTTGCTCCAGGATACGTTTATTGAGGTGTTCCAACTGTTAAAACTGATGTTTACAGCTTTGGTGTGGTGGTGTTAGAGATGGCGAGGGCAAGAAAGGCGGTGGAGGATGATGGAACAATGGTGGTTGATTGGGTTTGGAGCATGTGGGAAAACGGGAAACTGATCGAAGCTGCTGATCCGAGCTTGTTGGGGAAATTTGATATGGTAGAGATGGAGAGGATGCTGATGACTGGACTTTTGCTAGTGTGCACCCAAACCCTGTGAAGAGGCCAACGGTGATGAACTCTGTTTTACTGTGGTGTTCGGCCAAGGCTTGAACTTGATGATGTACAATATTTGACTCCGAAGAGCCACTTTGGCTAGGATTAATTGCTCGTAATAGATCAAGTAACCTCACAATTAGTAGGATTTCAGTGCAGTTTGTGGAAGAGAAACTAGGAGCTGCTTGTTGACTCTGGAATTGTGTTTGATTTCTTATAGTAATGAAATGCTCAGAGTCCTCGTCTGTTTTATCATGATTGACATGTCTCAAGCATTTTGTTATAAGCTGATGGACTTAATAATTCAATTGATGTTCGAAAGATTGAATTAAGTTTCGTGTTTCGTCCAAATATTCCTTTCGAATTTTGTTATTTGTACAACAACAAATGACTGCAGATCAAGACGAGTTTTTTCCATTAGTTACAAAAACAGACTGAAACACGGCAGTTCATTCTTTCCATAAAAATTTGAATTCAACTCCCCGGTGTTTTCAGAAAATCAACCTCGTGGTTCATTCTTGTACCAGGAAGAAACATTGAGGCCGACTCCACGGCGATTGGATAGTATTTGTCCTGCTTCAACTCCAGCGTTGCCAATTCTTCCGAAGTTTATGATGCAACAGACTCTACAGGGGACTGAAATGAAAACTGTTGCAATGAGAAATTAAGCAGATTTTTCTTCTTCTTTACAACTCGTGAGATTGAATCCACCGACTAAGATGGCAAAGCAAAAAATATCTTTAAAGAAAATAAAGCTGATGGGATAAATCGATGGGGACTTGCCTACATTTATTATAAGGTGACTAGTAACAATGTCTTTTGTGGATTTGTTCTGTGTCCTTGAAGCTAGCACTTCCAAGTCCACTTGAAGCTTCCTCGTCACTATATTCATGTGTTCTTTTTAGGATTTTCAGCGTTTGGTTTAGTTCTTCCAAATCTTGCTTGTACACCAAACGAGCCCCACACTTCTTCACACTATTGAAGTCTGCTTTTTCTTTAAAAACACGAACGTAAGTTTCGAATAAAATTTGTTCTTGAGGACAATATTCACGAGGGAAATAAAATACCAAAAGGTGTTCTGACACACAAGACCCTACTTTACTACTTTCGCATCTCTTTGACAACCAAATACCGATGTAATCAGAATGATAAGGGACAGTTGGATAGACCAAGTTTTGGAAAACAAGACAAAAGGCAAAATCCCCAGCCAGTCGGTACATGAAGGTGGCGGAAGCTTCATATTTACTGAATTTCCCACACTCTGATTACTGAACCACTTTGGAATTTCACTTCCAGGCCATACAACTTTTGGAGCCACTCTGGAGGGATGTGGTTGCGGAACCTGTAAGAAAAGAACTATTTTAGAGAGAGAGAGAGAGAGAGAGAGAGAGAGAGAGAGAGCACCGCATGATGAGTGGCAAATCTTGGAATCCTTGAGAGTATTGTATTAATCCAGCCTTCATCTTGAACCAATGCAATGCAATTCATGCAAGTGAAGTCAAAGTCATACAAATTGGTGAATCTGCTGCTCAACTTGGATGCATCTGTCAATCTTTTTAAGGATGTACAATTATCTAGATATACATACACATTTGATGGAAGAGGTGGCAATTCTTGAAGGCTTTTGCACCCCTCCAAACCAAGATACTTGAGCTTAGAAAGGTGTCTAATGCTTTCAGGTAGACTGACGAAATTATTTCCACTAATATCCAATCTTTCCAAAAAGGACAAGCAGCCAATATCATCGGGGATATCTCCTTCACAGAGTTCAACATCTACTAGATATAACTGTCTCAAAGAGTGTAAACGATTTAGAGAAGACAACACCAAACCCCAATCAGGAGGATCAGGACGACTCTTTCCGAGTCGAAATGACAAGAGATGGCCCCACCGCTCCCTTGCTTTAGCGCCCGATCCCTCAAATACTAGAAATCTGAGATTTTTCATACCCACAAGCGGCTCTGTCATTGTGTCTCGACAATCAAGCCTCTCTAAGTGATCCATGTCTCCTGGGAGTTTGTCAATCTTCGAGCATCCACCCACATCGAGATGTCTAAGAGACTTCAAATTACAAATAGCCCTCGGAAGGTTCAAGAGATTTTTGCAATCCATTAGACACAACTCCTTAAGGCCCACCAGATGTCCAATTGATGAATGTATTTTCTCGATTGCTGTCTCACTTAAGATCATCTCAGACACATTCTTCATCAGCTCCCCAAATTCAGGAATCTTTTTCACATTTGAGCAGCCACCAAGCCATAAAGATTCAAGAGAACCATTTCAAACTCATTTGGGAGGCTCTTAATGTTTTCACAACCCCTAAGATTCAAACTTTTATGTCTTTTGAGGAATGCAACAAACAGGTGAATCTCAACTAAATTTTTACAATACATAAGATCCAACCTCTCAAGATTTGGAACACCACTGAAATTTGGGGTATTAATCAATTTCATGGAGAAGCGAAGATGGAGATATTTCAACTTGGGCAAGTCTTGTTCAACATTGTAAGGTTCAGATCATATATTTGGCTTCTACAATCTTAAAATTTATTCAAAACAATAAATAAATAAAAAGTAAATGATTATTTTGTAAATTACATAGCATTTATTCAAGGATGAATAATAATTAGGTACTCATTAGTGAGTACTCTCTAGACTCATTTTTGTTTTGGTCCAATAAGAAAATGTCACATGTTCTTCTTTTAATGTCCATTATTATTTTTAAATAATTAAGTATGTGTTACAATATCATTGGACAAAATTAGAAAATGAGTACTGACTAGGGATTTATTTAATACCACTCTTACCATTTTTCCCTCCCAAAGCCGAACAAGATTGCTATAAGGCATGTTAAGTTCAGTAAGCAAGTACGGGCGAAAGCTGGTTGGAAGAAACTTGGAAGGATAGGAACTCCAATTTATAATTCTCAAGGAACTTGGAAGAAATTTGGGGCTTGAAGAAAAGATCAAATTAGTAAATTCCAAAAACCTCAGTCCATGCATGTTAGAGAAGGCTTCGCAATTCCATTGGGGCACCTCTTCTACATTGAATAGGCATAAAGATATAGCTTCAATTGCTCTTGACCCCTAACAATTAAGAAAAAAGGACAAATTAATTTGACAATCAAGTCTAATATAGTGTCAAAAGAAATCATATCTTCTTTCAAACTTGGAATTTAACTTCTTATCGAATTGGTCGTAAGTATATGAAAAATGTCATCAGAAAGCCACAACCTACTACGTAGACCAAGCTCTTCAGACTCTTCACGAACAATTGCCCATGCCATTTCTTGTATCAAATCATGCATCCATATCCCGTTTCCGTAACCATTGTATATGAGAGATCTCTCAATTAGTACATCTATCATACTACTACTAGAAATTCCAAATGAATTGTCTAGTTTCCTCAATACTTCCGTCATGGACTTCCCTTTGTGGAAACGCGCAACATCGATAAAATTTCTCTTCTCCGTCTTTTCTAGTCCATCATAACTAACTTTGCGTGAATCAAAAACTGTTGGAATAGGAATTTTCCTTAGATTATCTCGTACACTATTCCATGCATCTTGACCTCTCGCATACAAAGAAGACCCCAAGGTTTTAAGAACTATTGGAAGGCCTCTAGCATAATCTAGGAAATGCTTAGACAGTTCCAAAAAATCTTCGTCAGGTTGGTCTTTTTTAAAGGCGCGCAGGCTAAACAGCTCAAGTGCTTCGGCATCAACATTCTGACACAATGTTAGGTCATGCTTGACCAACAGACGTTGATTTCTAGTTGTAATGATAATTCTACTGCCCGTGCCAAACCAATCTTTCTTTCCAGCTAGTACTTGTAGCTGGTTTACTTGATCCACATCATCAAGTACAAGAAGAACCTTTTTGTTGCATAAGCATTTCTTCGTGTAATTGATTCCCCATTGTTGGTCTCTACACTATGTTTGGATGAAGGAAATAAATATGGAATTTTGGTAAAAGTTGGAATTTATAAATTGACAGACACCAATTCTCTTGTTTGGATTCATAAACATAGAAATTTAAAATTTCCGCGTGGAAAAAAACCTTGGAATTTGGGACCACCAAATCCCAAGTTCAAATTCCATGTAAATAGATGCCATTTCTCAATTTCTATGATTGAGAGTTTAAAAATAACAAATTCCGTATTTAATTCCATTGTTATTTTAGGTTAACCAAACAAGAAAATTTACAAATTCTAGAAAATAAAATCTTGTCATTTCAATTTTCGTCATTTTTAAATTCCTTAGTAATCTTAAATTTCTTCACCCAAACATAGTGTAACGTTTCCAATATTTTCTTTCAAGATTGGGCAAAGAAGTAGTTTTTTGAAGACGAACTAGAGTAGGCTCTGTTACAGAAACCTCTCTAACGTTTTCAAGAAAGCAGTGAACTTCAAAATGATGGACGATTTTATCATAAACTAGCTTAGCAAGAGTAGTCTTGCCTACGCCACCCATCCCAGTTATCCCAATAAATCGAACATCATTTGCGTCATGAGCTAACAGCAAACTTAGTTGCTCGAGTGCAGAATTAGTTCTGACTAACTTCTGTGAGGAATCTAATAGCGTGCATGTAGCTTGCACTTTCCTCCACACGCATTTGACGATGTCATCAATCAGCTCTCTTTCACACCTGGAAGGAAGAAAAGCATAATAAGTTAACCAAACAGGGGCACCAAAGCAAGAAGAACAACGAAACATTCACATATGCATGCTTACTTAAAATTCTTCAAATGCCAGCCAGAAATCTTGGATACTTCTCTCAAATCTGCTCTCCATTGGGTCACCTTCTTTTTGTCTTCAGTACTAATGAACTTCTCTTCATGCTCAGCGAAGGCTTTGGCAAAAGACCCCCTTTGATTTCCTACGTCGGAGGGATCCACGTCATAAAAAATTGGCATGACGTCCATGCATTGAACAATTTTTTGTGAGTTGCATTGAACAATTTTTGTGAGTTCGTCCAAGCACCATTTGAAAGAAGCATAGTTTGGTGAGAGAACAACAATTGCTATATGCGATGCACTGATTGCACTTTGGAGCTCTGGAGAAATACTTGTTCCTCTTTCAAGCTCTTGATTGTCAAAGAAAGTTGTAATTCCTTGGCGCTTGGACAATTCATGGTATAAATGGGATACAAAACCCTTGCGGGTGTCTACACCCCGGAAACTCAAAAACACATCATACTTCCATCCAGGAGCTGATTCATTTGAAAGAAAACATGCAGAGGCTCTTTGGGTGCTCAAACTCAATGCCATCAGAACAAACAGTTGTTGTAAATCGGGTACTGCAAACAGTAACTGAATGAACAAGTAAAACGATAGAAGATCAACGAGAAGCACAGTTTCACTCTACTCTTGATTTGTTCTTCTTTGAGAGCAGACCTTCCAACCCAACAACCATTTGCAGATATAAAGGTCCCCTGTTACACCAACACCTATATTATCCAAATGTAAACCAATTCTTACAAATTAAGTGAGTAAAATTATTGACAAATAGAATTTAATTAGTTATATATGTATGTGTGTGAATAAAACCCCAAAATAGACTATAAACAAAGCAAGGTCCAACTACAGGCATGCCAGTTTAATTAGTTAAACCCCAAAGATTAGAAAACGTAGTTAACAAAAAAATCAGGCATACGCGCTTTCTTTGTGGTAACTATGGATGTAAGTATATAAATCTAGCTTTCATAGAACCTCTATCTTTTGAACAATGAGCAATTGAACAGTGCCAATCTTTTGATAATTATAAACTTATGTATATAGATCTTTTTATAACAATGGGCAGTTCAAATAACGTCCAGATTCTTTTTCAATAAAACTATTTAGACACACAAAATCAAGATATTTGATGACATATTAGATGTGAGCTTTACAATTGCATATTGAACTAATCTGCATCATAGAGTTTGTCAATAAATGTGTTAGTTTTGTGTGTCTAAATTTATAGCTTCACTATTTCAATTAATAAATTGTCTGCAAAGTGAGTCTGATAAAATGATATATTATACATGTCACCTAATTAAGTAGCTATATTAAACATTGAGTAAAGAAAAATGTTCAAGCAACCTATTATCTGTAAAAGATTATCCCCTAAATAGCCACAATTGGCAGCACTGATAAGGCAATTCGTACCCCCATGAAAAGAAATGCAGAACGCATAGAACCCATTGAACTAAAAGTATCTTGTTTCCCTTTTCCTGCATTTCAGAAATTTTTATGCCTTGAAGCTCAGAAATACAAAGCACCCACAGCCAAAAAACAGTTCAAAAGCCAGGAATCGACAACCCATTAAGGAAAAATGATAAAGAAAGCAATTGGGAATAAAAAGTTGTTTCATTTGTAACTGATCAGACCTTATACATTTAGTGTATTAGTACTATATAAATGAAAACACAATCAAAATTCATCAACGTTAAACTTAAACGATCATAACCTCAAACAACCAAAGTCTAGGGAACGAAATCTGATACTCATAGTACACATCTCTATGCGTAAAACATTTAAAAAAATCAAATGCCAGTTATTAGAATGGAAAGTTGAAGTACCTGGGCAAGTTTATCTTTTTATCCGAAGATCATTTCCACTTGCTCTAAATAAAAAGGACAACAACAATTGTCATCTCCACTTTCCCTGCATTCAAAATATCACCACCAGTGCACTTATATAAGGGAAACAAACATGTGCATCCAATCACCAAAGTTTACATAAATTTCTCACAAACCCATGCCACTGAGTGACACAATAGGATGTTCGAAATCAAAGCAGTTATGAGTCAGTGTACGCATAAACAATTGAATGTTACAGATGGAATGCAAAATCACGTGGAATGAAATCATCAAATCCCAAAAGAAAATGCTTCAACGAATTCTTGCGGAATCAAAATCCAACAACCATTTGATTATTAGTTCAACACAAATCATTATAAAAACAATATACAATACAAACACATATCCATCCGACTTTTTCTTAATTTTTTGAATTTCTTGACTATGTTTCCTTCTTGATTATATTTCTCTATCAATAGAAAAATGAAAAACAAACAAACAGTTAGGGGTTCAGAAATTTAACATATATTACTATAATTCAAAAGGGCTCATATACTTGAGAGAGAATGATGGGACCACCCTGGGATTCAAACAATTTTTCACTTGCGCAGTCTTTTCTGTGAACCCTTGCATTGCTCTCTGCATTTCCAGAAGTTACATTATGAAATTTTACTGAATAGTAAATAGTTAATACCTCTCAGAAAGCTCCATAAATTCTCATTAAAACAAATTATGCACGATTAGGTAAAAAAATAAAAAGTAAAGAAAATTAACCTTGGAAGGCTCATTGCTTGTTCCGAAGCTGACTCCTGGAACATATTTCAACCATCAGAAAACAACCCTCCAAACCACACAATCAAAAAAATGAAATACTTTTTTTTTGCCCCCTAAGATTAGGAGAGAAAAAGGCTGATGGTGGAAAATCCTAAAAAATTAGAAAAATAAAAAGCCAAAATTATAAATCTGGAATGAGTACCCAAAGAATAGATTTTCTGGGATTAAGATTTTCTTCGAATGTACACCAGATTCGCTGTTTTTCGGTGAGAGGACGTTCTCGTTAGTAGTTTCTCATGAGTTCTGAGGAAAAATAGAGATGGAAAAAAATACCCACGAGAAGGAGCGGAGGAGAGGCTGTCGAACGGAGGAGGAGGGAGGAGCCTGCATGGGGAGATGCTGTCGAACGGATGAGGATGTTTCGTGGTTCTGAGAGAGAACTTGAGAGATTCGTTCTGGAAGCAAAATGAACCTCCTTCCTTTTGCAACGATGACCAACACGTGTAACAGCGAAAAGGCTGAGAAATGACTTTGACAATTACCAAACAAAATACAGGATCAACACAAACTTACACAGGTACAGAGAAGTGACAAATGACAAGGCAAGAAGTAGGTAAATCACACTCAAAATTCTCACAGCCAAGTTATAGGATATAGGAAATTCAGAGGTGTAGGATAGGAAATAAATGGGAGATAGGAAATTCAGAGAGGTAGTATAGGAAATAAATGGGAGATATTGGTATGGAGGTGAATTATTTCTTTAAAGAAGAGAAGTTAGTAAGAAAACTAAAATTTTAAGATAATTTATGGTGAACTATTTAACAGTTAAAATATTTGAAATATTTTTTACTCTTGGTTAAAATTCTAAACAATTGATTGTCTTAGCCGATGCTTACTGATGGGTTTGGTGGCTCATTCCGACTGGGCCATTTACTTTGACTGAAGCCTATTGATTGGCTGTTAATAGCTCCATGTTCTCGGGCCATTACTGGTTAAGTTACACGACCAGCCGGCCTTCTGCTTTTCCGGGATTTCCTTGCGCCCCGGGTAGATAATAATGACCGACCGGCGGCATCAAAATCGAGGTGTATGTGGGAATCGGAATTCAAACCCCAACCCTTTTCGGAAAGGGGAAAGCGGACTACTGGGAAAACATAAAGGAAACCCTAACCTACGTCAAAAGAAGGACATTATATTATGAATTCACCGTTTCCGGAAGGCTGGCTCACTTTCTCTGACTTCGGTCGAGCCACGTGATGACTATGTTAACGGCAGCAAGGAGCCAATTTTATAAGACATTTGATGCTATTCTTTTGGTTCGCATCACCAAAGAGAAAAAGAAAGGCAAGCTATGACTTTCGGTTCCTTAAAAACAAAGGCCGGCAAAAAAAAAAAAAAAAAAAAGAACTTTAACGAAAGCTCATGGTACTATTCCTTTTAACAAAAAATCACATTTTTATACTAAAAAGTCAATCCTGGTAATATTTATTTTACCCTTTATTTTGTCCTTATCGTTAAAACTCAAAGTTTTCAAATCATTTTCATTAGTTTTCCTATTAAAAAAAAGGAGCAGCAGGCATTGGATGCTTTTCTTTTGGTTCCCATTAGCAAAGAGAAAAATAAAAGGTTTTGGCAATTACACATCCAAGATATTGGTGCTACATTTTTTGGCTTTTGGGAGATTATGTATTTTCATCTTCTCCCTTTATATTTTGCTTGAGTGAGAACTATTGGGTGTATCTAGGATTTGGGGTTTGAGAGTTAAAATTCTATTTATGATCTCCATTGGTTATTAGTAAAATTTCTTTACCGTCTTCGCACTAGATGTAAACTTATGTCAAATCAATGTAAATCTTTTGTCACTTTGAATTGTTTGTTTTGTCAAATGTTTTTGAATTAATTTACTAGTTTCACATTTGACGCTTTCAAACAACACTTGATACTAAAAGAATGAGCTAAACCATTTCATCAAATTAAACTACAAGTTTACTGCACAAAACTTGTAATAGATCAAGTAACCTCACAATTAGTAGGATTTCAGTGCAGTTTGTGGAAGAGAAACTAGGAGCTTCTTGTTGCAGAATTTGTAGTCTGAAATTGTGTTTGATGTCTTATAGTAATGAAATGCTGAGTGTCCTTGTCTGTTTTATCATGATTGACATGGTCTCAAGCATTTTGTTATAAGCTGATGGACTTAATAATTCAAATGATGTTCGAAAGATTGAATTAAGTTTCGTGTTTCATCCAAATACTCCTTTCAAATTTTGTTATTTGTACAACAATAGATGACTGCAGATCAAGACAAGAGTGTTTTTCCATTAGTTCAAAAATAAATTCAACTCCCCGGTGTCTTCAGAAAATGAACCTCGTGGTTCATTCTTGTACCAGGAAGAAACATGGAGGCCGACCCCACGGTGCTCGGATAGTATTTGTCCTGCTTCAACTCCAGCTTTGCCAATTCTTCCCAAGTTTATGATGCAACTGACTTTACAGGGGACTGAAATGAAAAACTATTGCAATGAGAAATTAAGCAGATTTTTCTTCGTTCTTTATAACTCGTGAGATTAGATCCATTGACTAAGATGGTGAAGCAGAAAATATCTTTTAAGACTACAAAGCTGATGGGATAAATTGATGGGGACTTGCCTGCATTTATTATAAGATGGTGACTAGTAACAATGTCTTTTGTGGATTTGTTCTGTGTCGTTGAAGCTAGCACTTACAGGTCCACTTGAAGCTTCCTCGTCACTATATTCAAGTGTTCGTTTCAGGATTGTCAATGTTTGGTTTAGTTCTTCCAAATCTTGCTTGTACACCAAACGAGCCCCACACTTCTTCACACAATTGAAGTCTTCTGCGTATTGTATTTCTGGCACTCTCTCATCTGAACTGTAAGTTCTGAATAAAAATTGTTCCTCGTGACAATATTTACGAGGCAGATAAAATAAACAAAGATGTTCCGACAGAAGTGACCCTATGTAACGATGCAATTCGTTATTTAAAAGCTCAACGACATGACAAATAGAAGAAGCAGGTCGATTGGCCAAGTTTTGGTTAGGATATTGAAAAACAAGACAAAAGGCAATCCCCAGCCAGTCGGTACATGATGGTGGTGGACGCTTCACATTTACTGAATTTCCCACACTCTGATTACTGAACCACTTTGGAATTTCACTTCCAGGCAATACAAGGTACTTATTGGCGGGATATGGAGACGATACCTGTAAGAAAAGAACTATTTTAGAGAGAGAGACAGAGAGAGAGAGAGAGAGAGAGAGAGAGAGAGAGAGAGAGAGAGAGTACCTCATATTGAGCGACAAATCTTGGAATCCTTGAGAGTATTGTATTAATCCAGCCTTCATCTTGAACCAATGCAATGCAATTCGTGCAAGTGAAGTCAAAGTCATACAAATTGGTGAATCTGCTGCTCAACTTGGATGCATCTGTCAATCTTTTTAAGGATGTACAATTATCTAGATATACATACACATTTGATGGAAGAGGTGGCAATTCTTGAAGGCTTTTGCACCCCTTCAAACCAAGATACTGGAGCTTAGAAAGGCGTCTAATGCTTTCAGGTAGATTGACGAAATTATTTCCGCCGAGATACAACCTTTCCAAAAAGGACAAGCAGCCAATATCATCTGGGATATCTCCTTCACAGAGTTCACAATCTTCTAGATATAACTGTCTCATAGAGCAAAAACGATTTAGAGAAGACAGCACCAAACCCCAACAAGGAGGATCAGGACGACTCTTTCCAAGTCCTAATAAGCGGAGAAGGCCCCACCCTTCCCTTGGTTTAGCATCTAGTTCACATTTAAAAAATAGATCTTTAAGATTTTTCATACCCACAAGCGGCTCTGTCATTGTGCCTCCACATTTAAGATCCTTTAAGTGATCCATGTCTCCTGGGAATTTGTCGAGTTTTGAGCATCCCATCACATTGAGATATGTAAGAGACATCAAATTACAAATAGCCCTTGGAAGGTTTAAGAGATTTTTGCACTGACTTAGACTCAAACTATTAAGGCCAACCAGATGTCCAATTGATGAAGGTATTTTCTCAATCGCAGTCCCATCCAAGTCAATCGTGGACACATTCTTCATTTGCTCCCCAAATTCTGGAATCTTTTTCACATTTGAGCAGCCACCAAGCGATAAAGATTTAAGAGAATCCATTTCAAACTCACTTGGGAGGCTCTTAATGCTTTCACATCCTCTAAGGTTCAGAATTTCAAGTCTTTTGAGGAATGCAACAGACGGGTGAATTTCAACTAAATTCTTACAATCCCAAAGATCCAACATCTCAAGATTTGGAAAACCACTGAAATCTGGGGTATTAATCAATTTCTTGGAGGAGGCAAGATTGAGATATTTCAACTTGGGCAAGTCCTATTCAACACCGTAAGGTTCATATCATATATTTGGCTTCTACAATCTTAAAATTTATTCAAAACAATAAATAAATAAAAAGTAAATGATTATTTTGTAAATTAAACTACATTTATTCAAGGATGGATAATAATTAGGTACTCATTAGCAAGTACATTGACTATTTTTTTTTTTTTTTGGTCCAATAAAAAAAGTCACATGTTCTTGTTTTTAACATGTCCATTATTTTTTTAAACAATAAAATATGTGTTAAAGTATCATTGGACAAAATTAGAAAATGAGTACTGACTGGGGATTTATTTAATATTACTCTTACCATTTTTCCCTCCGAAAGCCGAAGAAGATTGCTATTAGGCATGTTAAGTTCAGTAAGCAAGTACGGGCGAAAGCTGGTTGGAAGAAACTTGGAAGGATACCAACCCCAATTTATAATTCTCAAGGAACATGGAAGAAATTTCGGACCCGAAGAAAATATCAAATTATTGAATTCCAAAAACCTCAGTCCATGCATCTTAGAGAAGGCTTCGCAATTCCATTGGGGCACCTCTTCTACTTTGGCCGGGCGTAAGGATATAGCTTTAATTGCTCTCGAACCCTAACAATTAAGAAAAAAGGATAAATTAATTTGACAATCAAGTCTACTAGTGTAAAAAGAAATCGTATCTTCTTTCAAACTTAGAATTTAACTTCTTACCGTATTGGTCGTGAGTATATAAAAAATGTCATCATAAAGCCACAACCTGCTGCGTAGACCAAGCTCTTCAGACTCTTCATGAACAATTGTCCACGCCATTTCTTGCATCAAATCATGCATCCCTATCATGTTTTCGAAATTGTATACGAGAAATCTCTCAATTAGTACATCTATCATACTACTACTAGAAATTCCAAATGAATTGTCTAGCATCCGCAATACTTCCGTCGTGGGCTTCCCTTTGTGGAGACACGCAACATCGAGAAAAATTCTCTTCTCCATCTTTTCTAGTCCATCATAACTAACTTTGAGTGAATCAAAAACTGTTGGAATAGGAATTTTCCTTAGATTATCTCGTACACTATTCCATGCACCTTGACCTCTCGCATACAAAGAAGACCCCAAGGTTTTAAGAACCAATGGAAGGCCTCCAGCACGATTAATGAAATACTTAGACAGTTCCAAAAAATCTTCCTCAGGTTGGTCTTTTCTAAAGGCGTGCAGGCTAAACAGCTCAAGTGCTTCGGCATCTTTTAACACCTCGACATTATGACACAATGTTATGTCATGCTCGACCAGCAGACGTTGATTTCTTGTTGTAATGATAATTCTACTTCCCATGCCAAACCAATCTTTCTTTCCAGCTAGTACTTGTAGCTGGTTTACTTGATCCACGTCATCAAGTACAAGAAGAACCTTTTTGTTGCATAAGCAATTCTTCGTGTAATAGATTCCCCGTTGTTGGTCTCTAACGTCTTCAATATTTTCTTTCAAGATTGGGCAAAGAAGTTGTTTTTGAAGACGAACTAGAGTAGGCTCTGTTACAGAAACCTCTCTAACGTTTTCAAGAAAGCAGTTAACTTCAAAATGATGGACGATTTTATCATAAACTAGCTTAGCAAGAGTAGTCTTGCCTACGCCACCCATCCCAGTTATCCCAATAAATCGAACATCATTTGCGTCATGAGCTAACAGCAAACTTAGTTGCTCGAGTGCAGAATTAGTTCCGACTAACTTCTGTGAGGAATCTAATAGCGTGCATGTAGCTTGCACTTTCCTCCACACGCATTTGACGATGTCATCAATCAGCTCTCTTTCACACCTGGAAGGAAGAAAAGCATAATAAGTTAACCAAACAGGGGCACCAAAGCAAGAAGAACAACGAAACATTCACATATGCATGCTTACTTAAAATTCTTCAAATGCCAGCCAGAAATTTTGGATACTTTTTTCAAATCAGATCTCCACTGGGTCACCTTCTTTTTGTCTTCGGTGCTAATGAACTTTTCTTCATGCTCAGTGAAGGCTTCGGCAAAAGACGCCCTCTGATTGCCTACGTCAGATGGATTTGTCTCATAAAAGACCGGCAGAATTGCTTTCCTCGCTTCCATACATTGAACAATGTTTGTGAGTTCGTCCAAGCACCATTTGGAATGAGCATATTTTGGAGAGAGAACAACGATTGCTGTATGCGATGCTTTGATTGCACTTAGGAGCTCTGGAGAAATACTTGTTCCTCTTTCAAGCTCTCGATCGTCATAGAAAGTCGTAATTCCTTGGCACTTGCACAATTCATGGTATAAATGGGATACAAAACCCCTGCGGGTGTCAACACCCGTGAAACTCAAAAACACACCATACTTCCATCCAGGAGCTAAATCATTTGAAAGAAAAGATGAAGAGGCTCTTTGGGTGCTCCAAGTCAATGCCATTGGAAAAAACAGTTGCTGTAAATTGGGTACTGCAAACAGTAACTGAATGAACAAGTAAAACGATAGAAGATCAATAGGAAGCAGAGTTTCACTCTATTCTTGATTTGTTCTTCTTTGAGAGCAGACCTTCCAACCCAACAACCATTTGCAGATATAAAGGTCCCCTGTTATACCAACACAAATTCGATTAATAAATTGGACTAATCTGTATCTTAGAGTTTGTCAATGTGTGTTAGTCTTCTGTGTCTAAATTTATAGCATCACTATTTCGATTAATAAATTGTCTGCATAGTGAGTCTGATAAAATGATATATTAAACATGTCACCTAATTAAGTAGCTATATTAAACATTGAGTAAAGAAAAATGTTCAAGCAACCCATTATCTGTAAAAACAGTTCAAAAGCCAGGAATCGATAACCCATTAAGGAAAAATGATAAGGAAAGCAATTGGGAATAAAAACTTGTTTCATTTGTAACTGATCAGACCTTATACATTTAGTGTATTAGTATTATGTAACTGAAAACACAATCGAAATTCATCAACGTTCAAACTTAAACAATCATAACCTCAAACAACCAAAGTCTAAGGAACGAAATCTGATCCTCATAGTACATAATTAATCTCTCTCTATGCGTAAAACATTTAGAAAAATAAAATGCCAGTTATTAGAATGGAAAGTTGAAGTACCTGGGCAAGTTTTTCTTTTTATCCGAAGATCATCTCCACTTTCCCGCATTCAAAATATCACCACCAGTGCACTTATATAAGGGAAAAAACAAGTGCATCCAATCATCAAAGTTTACATAAATTTGCCACAAATCCATGCACTGATGTTCAAAATCAAAGCAGTTAAGAGTCAGTGTACACATCAACAATTGAATGTACAGATGGAATGCAAAATCACGTGGAATGAAATCATCAAATCCCAGAGGAAAAAACTTTTCAAAGCATTCTTGCGAAATCAAAATCCAACAACCATTTGATTATTAGTTCAACGCAAATCATCCGACTTTTTCTTAATTTTTTTGAATTTCTTGACAATGTTCCCTTCTTGATTACATATCTCTATCAATAGAAAAATGAAAAACAAACAAACAGTTAGGGGTTCAGAAATTTAACATATATCACTAATCAGTCCCACAATCTTTTCTGTGAACCCTTGCATTGCTCTCTGCATTTCCAGAAGTTACATTATGAAATTTTACTGAATAGTAAATAGTTTATACCTCTCAGAAAGCTCCATAAATTCTCCTTAAACAAATTATGCAAGATTAGTAAAAGATAAAAATAAAAAATAAAAAAAAGTAAAGAAAATTAACCTTGGAAGACTCCTTGCTTGTTCCGAAGCTGATTCCTGGAACGTATTTGAACCATCAGAAAAAACCCTGCAAACCACACAATGGAAAAAATGAAGTACTTTTTTTTTTTTTTCCTAAGATTAGGAGAGAAAAAGGCTGATAGTGGAAAATCCCAAAAAAATTGGAAAAATAAAAAGCCAAAATTATAAATCTGGAAAGAGTACCCAAAGATTAGATTTTCCGGGATTAAGATTCGCTTCGAATGTACACCAGATTCGCGGTTTTTCAGTGAGAGGACGTTCTCGTTAGTAATTTCTTAGAGTTCTGGGGAAAAATAGAGATGAAAAAAATACCCAGGAGAAGGGGCGGAGGAGATGCTGTCGAACGGAGGAGGAGGAGGAAGGAGGAGCCTGGATGGGGAGATGAGAGCCAGTGTCTTAATGAAATCCAAATTTTTTTTTTTTAAGGAAAAATGGCAATTGCGGAAATAAATTCAAATTATCTAATGAAATTGCACTCTAGCTAAAGCCACAGTGCGGCCGCTCCCCAGTTTTAGAACAGGGTAATGTTCTAAAATTTAAGAAAAGAATTTGAAACTATAAATCTTCTCTTGGTAATTACAAGATGCAATTTTTATTCGTAACTGTCATCAGATATTTGGCTTAGTATCAACACATATTTAACAATTCGATTTGATTTTACAGTCTTTGATAACTTAGTTTATGTTGTTGAATCATATGCAATTATTGAAAAAGGAGTTATGCTAACAAAATAAGTATTCAATGAACGAGTGAACAAAAATGAGCGGGAAAAAGAAAATATAAACTTTAAATCTTGTTTTGGTAATTGAAAATGTATATTAAGCAAAAGAGATCAAGGACTCGGAGAATTATCAAACAAAATACAGAATCAACACAAACTTACACAAGTAGAGAGAAGTGACAAATGGCAAGGCAAGAAGCAGATAAATCACACTGAAAATTCTCGCAACGAAGTTGTAGGAATATAAGAAATTCAGATAGGTAGGATAGGAAATAAATGGGAGGAAGATGGGTACTTATACTAGTAGTGAAGGTGGTGTCCACACGGTTCGGTGTCGGTGATAATGTTGAGTGAATTATTTCTTTGACGAAAAAACGTTAGTATGATTACTTATCTAAATAGGAGTAAAATAACTAAAATTTTAGGATGATCTATGGTGAACTATTTAACAGTTAAAATATGTTAAATATCTCATACTCTCCGTTAATTTCCAAACAATTAATCGTCATGGCCTGTTGAGTTTTGTGGCTCATTCCGATTGAACCGTTTACTTTGACAGAAGCCAATGTTTTTTTCGATAAATAAAAATGGTTTCAGTCACATGATGACTATGTTAAAGGCAGCAAGGAGCCAGTATTATAAGGCATTGGATACTGAAAGAAGAACAATACTTGACTGCTGAAAACTTGACAGCCATTTCTACTTTCACCGAATTAGAGTTAGATATATGTCTAATTTATGCTTATAATTTTAATTATTTGAACATATGTTCAAATTTAATTGGATAAAAGTAGGAATGGCCACTGAAAATTCAGCAGCCAAGTATTGTTAGGAAAAGAAAGGCAACCTATGCCTTTCGGTTCCTAAAAAAGAAAGGCAAAAAAATGGAAACAGAAAGACAAAATAGAGAATATGAGAGGATGGGATGGAAGCGTATAGAAAGAGGAGGGAGAGAGAATCCTAGTCCAACAAAAAAAAACCACAAAAACCAATATGAAAACGATATATGAAATAATGGAGAGAAATTCGTTGAGATTGAGGCATCATCAATGATTATCTTTCAAATGTTAATTAACACCGAATAATTAACCAAACTTTGTAGGGTAAAGACCACTTCCTCTACAAGAAACCCTAAGCTCTTTGATTCTCGTTCATCTTCCAAGTCTTAATTTAGGCATACGAGACACCAGTATGACAAAGTCTAACATCTTTATGCCTTTGTTTTGTTTTGTTGCAGATATTCGTTATAATTCTACGATTACGTGAAATTTTTTCCCAACTTCATTATTTTATCTATATATTCTAAAACAAGTAACACTGAATAATTGACGGAGAAAGAACAACAATAAAATCATATGTATAGACTATAGAGTACAAGTGCCAAAATGAACAAGATTTTACCAAAAAGTCAGGCTCGGTGGCTTGCCTCTTCTCATAAGTAAGTCATCTAGTGTTCTGTGTCACTCTCAACTTGAGTTTGTTCAGTCTACTTCTGTCTTTCGGTAGTATGAGCTGGACTTGTGTTATGTATATTGTGCTTTTCAACCTTTTTGGGCTTTAAATCTTTTGGGAAATTTGAGTTGGAAAAGAAAAATTAAACTATCGATTTTGTCTATGAATTAGAACTCGAGCGAAAATTAAGTATTTAGACATTTTTTTGATACTATCTAGTGCTACAATCTAGTGATATTCATTTTTTTATACGTGAGGAATTTCAAGTTTTTGACAACATTTATAAACTATTGTGTCCACCATCTCAGGAATGATGGTAGTACTTTCTAATTTTTTTTATGGGAACATTAGGTTCACATTCTTCTTTTTATTACTCTATTGATTAAAATCCTATTCATTTTGAATTTTTGATCAAGGTCCTTAGGTATTAATAACATCATTAATTATTTGAATAATAAAATATTTTTATTTTTAAATATATTCCTTTAGTGTTAAAAATGTTACAATTAGTATATTTATATTTATGGCTAAATTTTTTATCATATATTTTTATTTTTATTTTGTACCTATTTTTAATTTGCAAATATTTTTTAATTTGTACCAATTTTCTTTTCATTTTTAATTTGTACCCATATATTAGTTTCTTTTTGTGCCCATATTTTTTAAAGTTTTATTTGTGTTTGTACCTATGTGTATACCGTCACGTGACATTGTATATTTAATCAATGAAGGAAAAATTACGTATGGTATATTTATGTTTTATGCCTAAACTTTGTATCATATATTTATATTTTTAGTTTGTACCCACTTTTAATTTGCAACATTTTTTTTTAATTTGTAGTATTTTCTTTTTAGTTTTATTTTGTACCCATGTATTAATTTCTTTTAGCGCCTATATTTTTAAAAATTCATTTGTACTCATAATTTCTAATCTTTTATTTGTACCCTAATTTGTTTATAATGTACCCTGTGACAGCTCGTCCCGAACTTTTGTACTGTTAGTGTGAAAAGACGATTTTGCCCCTGGACGTATTTTATGTTGTTGGGTGTATGGGTTGAATTATTTTTGTTTGGTGGGCTGTCACCTAGACCACACACTCACACACACACCCAACATTTCCCCCATGACTCTCTCTCTCACATTCTCTCGGATTCCTTCCATTTTCTTCCTCATCGTACGGACGACTTTCATCCAACCATTTCCAAGCACGGATCGTGTTTGATGTTGGTGTTTTTGGACTCCTTTCAAGCTCAGGAGTCGATTGGTGGTGTTGATTGGACGTGAAACCTTCGAAAACCCTAGAACCCGTGAACCCAGTTTTGGTGCACTGTTCATGCACACGTGATCGTGGGTTTTTAGAAGTTTTTAAGGTTATAGGGAGCTTTAGAACCTTTTCACGAAGCTCGAGGAACAATTTTGAGGGTTTTTGGATGTTGGGAAGCCCAGTTTCAGTGAGTTACAGGTTTGGCCGGAATTTCGAGGTTTCTCCGACGAGATTCTGTTGGTTTTAGGTCCCCAAAGTGGTAAGGTTTTGTTCTACTTGTTGTTAGCTTCATTTTGGTACAAATTTCATGAAATTTGGTTGAGAAATGAAGAAGATATTAAGGTTTGAAATTTTCCCAGTTTTCCGGCGAGAAATCGAGTTGCAGACGGCGGTGACTGGCGAGGCTCACCGGAGAAGGAGGAGAATATTCCATCAGAGTTAACAGAATATTCTAATGGCGTCAGATAACGGCCGTTAACGACTATTAGGGTTTTAACGGAATATTCCTTAACACCGTTAGGGTTTCATAGCGTGCCCGCGCGTGGCCGGCGTGTCTGGCCGTGCCTTAGCCGGCACGTCTGGCCGTGCCTTGGCTGGCGAGTGGGAGGTCAGAAAATTATTTTTAAAATATGGGGATGTTCATGAGGTTGAGTAGATCACGTTGGTATATTCAAACACCTCATTTAAGCAATGTATGAGAAGCTATTATCTAAGGTTGGTTATGTGCGTTAAATGGACGGTTTTATAGTTGTTTCACATATAGGTGAAGACTATCCGGAGGACGAGCGCAGCCACGCGAGGCTTGGTGATAAGAGCATATTCATGCGACTTAAATGACTTGTTCTCGTGCATTTACGTTATGTTTCTTTAGTTATTTTAGTCATTTATGCTTCTTTTGTGTGTTTTCAGGTTCTAAGGGCAAAGTATGCAAAAGGGTGCATTTTGGTGCATTTTGGAGTAGTTTGGGGCGTTAAATGGATTGCATATACTTGAAGCCAAGTAGATGGACGAAATTGAAGACCAAAGGAGGCCCTTTGTACCAGAAATTCA